CTGCTTGAAACCCTAGTCAAGGAACTGAATATTTTAATAATTTATTTTCTCGTTCCTTTGTGGCATCTCTCGTAGTTCCACAAAGCAAAGGTGCCTTAATACACTGTATAATTTATATTTCCCACCTCCGTGGTCAATGAAGAGGTGCTTTATCGCCATAATGTTGGGGGTAGCAGACACCTCTGAAGTACTGAGAAGCTTCTTCCAAACTTCCAGGTTGACATTACTAAAAAAAATTCGCCAATAAAATAATTCATTAGGAAGATAAGTGATTCAGGTTTCAATATCAGATTTAATTTGTGTTTCTCCTATTATGACGCGTCCCACCAAGTGTTCATTTGACGTTCTACGTACTACAGGTACCCAAGATACTGACGTCAACAAAACGTGTTTTCTGATGTCATAGGTGTGACAACTTTACAAAAAAAAATGTACGCCAGCCGCGCAAACAACATCGAGATGTTTTTTGTGGGAATGTAGCGAAAGTTTGAAAGGTGTAGCAGAAAGGAATAATTTGAGAGTTAAATGACGATAGGGCGGCGAAATTAAAGGAATGGGGAAGTTTTCGGATGAAAGAGGGGGAAAAGGTAAAGGAGGGGAAGAAAGATATGGCGGGGGATAGTTCGAGTTGAATTTGAACCAGCTTTTTGCTATAGTAAGTTAATAAATAAAATACAATCACTGGGGTTATCGGAGAATAAGGACACGTAGCTCCTTTCCTACTAGAAATTTGTTACACCTCTGGATTATTGTGACGAATTTGGAGAAGACATCGACAGTTATTAGTCGCACTCTTCCTTTCCGTGGTCGAGTGGTTAGCACCCCTGCTTCGTATTCGGGATGTCCCGGGTTCAAATATCGGACGGCAGACCGGCTATCCTGACTTGGGTTTTTTCTCGTGATTTTCCTCAGTCCTTCGAGGCAAATTCCTTCCACATCCTCTCCACTTCACTATCTTCCTCTCATTCGACGTTATGTAATCTGAACTACTGAAAAAGCGTCGTTGAATAAACTGTAAATAAATCTTCCTTTTAGGCGTGTGTACAAAATTAGGGGAAGGTGGGGTACAGTGAAACATAAAATATATTTTTCATGTAAGTCCTTCGAGTAACAGAGGAACGTGAACTTTCTTCGTGCTGACAGACTGGACAGAGTTTTTTCATTCATGAAATTAATATAATTTAGATCTGCATAAATGTATAGTGCTCAGAATTATAAACATAAAAATACGATTGTATTTGTTTCACTGTATACCAGGAATCGGGTAAAATGAAACAGTGTTTGGGACACGGTGAAACACATCTGCTGTTTTTTTTTCAGAACTTTTTTTTAAGATTCAGTTTTTAATTAGGTAAACAATTCAAACCAACTTAGCATACATGAATCACGTAATGTAAATGAAAATAAATTGCGAGTCTCTCTCAAATAATGTGCTGTAGTATGATGTATGGAATAATTCAATTGAGAGACGACGGGAAATATTTCCTCAGACAATATAAATGTAAAATAGAAATTCTCTGTGAAACAAACGCATTGAACAAGTGTAAAATAGACTACATAAAAGAACTCAAAATTCACGTAAATTTAAACATTCTGATATACATATTGAAAAGAATAAAGTGGCTTTGCTCAGTTTCTACGAGGCGCGTCCTCAAAGTAAGTTTCCCTGGGGCCGTTTACAGAAACAAAACACAATTTCATGGAAATATTTATTGCAA